TGCATGTGAGTGTCCTCTGGTCTCTCCTTTTCTTCTTATAAAGCCACTGGTATGCAGTCTTGGGGTATTTAAATTTTCACCCTCATAATACCTCACAATGAGGATTAAACTTCAACCTGAGTTTCAAAGGGGTCAAACCATATTCGAACCATAGCACTGAGTCTTAAATACTAATCTCCCTGCTTTTGTCCTCATCCCGTTGTGGTCTGTTTTCAACCTAGGACTAGAATTATCCTGCTACAGTTAAGCCTGCTCAAAAGTCTCCCAGTGTCTTCGTTCTGTTAACTCTGACCTTCTGCTGCTTTCTCCATCATTCTCTCTGGTCCAGCCTTATTAATGTCCTTTCACATCTTGGAGTTGCCACATTTACACCCAGCTGAGGGCCCTTGAATGTGCTGTTCTGTCTTTGCAGACTGCTCTTCCCTCCATCCCCATCTGTAAGGCTTGCTCCCTCACTTCAAGGTCTTTATTTTCAGTGAAATTTTCCTTAGTTCTCTAAGTAAAAGTTTAGTTTCTGCTTCTGATACTTTATATTCTCTTTGCTTCTTAACACTTAGCATCATATAACATACCATATTTAATTTTTCCTTTTTATACTCTTATCTCCTCCATAAGGACAGGAATTTCTGTCTGTTTTGGTCACAGCCATTGCCTGACACATAGTAAACATGCAGTATATACTTACTTGACTGAATGAATGAAAGGGTTTAGGAACTTTTCAAGTTTGTCATTAAAATATAACTTTATGGAAGTTGTGTTTCAGAGAAGGGCACTAGGATCAATGCTATGAATGAATTCCTAATTATATACTGATCTTATTTTAAATCATTTCTAAAGCCAAGGTTCTGTTGCTCTGAAGCTACTTATACCAAAAATTTCTTATGATATTTTATGAAGTTCTGATTATAGTCATTGTTTCTTTTAATTACTTGATTCTGTTTCATTCTTACTTTTCTGTACAGTGAATCTTCTCATCTGTTGTACCTGTTGGAACATACCTGGAAAGATGCCAAGTTCATTTTGCAGATCATGTGTGAGCTAAATGTTCTTCCATTAGCATTGCAGATCACTAACATCGCCGGAAACATTATGGTAAATTTAACTTAGCAAGAGGGGAAAAAGCATTTCCTGTTGGATTCAGTGTTTGCTTGCTTGGGGTAGTTGTTATATGATAATGAGTCTAAATGCATGCTTATAAAATGAGTAACTTGGATTCTGAAAGCTGGGTTTCTTTTGTAAAAGGAAGAACTGCTTGGGAGAGGGGGAGGAATGCCAGGTGCAGTGTGTTGAAATTTGGGCAAAAATAAGGATCATCTCCCTAACATCTGGATGTGTCTGGTGGAATGGCCCATTTAGGAGTAAGGAAATAGCCAAGTTGTCAATATTTTAAGCTCTCTTTGTCTCCTTTAACTATAGTGCTTAAAGAAAATGTTAGAAATAACTTAATATTTTTTAAAAGCAGCCTTTATTGTTAGTAGTTTTAAAGGAGGCATCATGATTAAATGAACCATTTCAGAATTGCTTTTGTTTGTTGTAGTTTTGAGTTCAAATTTAAAAAAAGAAATTCTATTTAATAGTCCAGGACACTGATGGGTGGACGATCTGAGCGTAACGAGTTCTTGTTGCTACATGCATTTTATGAAAACAACTACATTGTGCCCGACAAGCAAATTTTCAGAAAGCCTCAGCAAAAATTGGTGGGTCCAAAATTACATAGTATTTTGCCTTTTCTTGTCCCTCCTTTTTATTACCTAGATAGCCTTTTTTTTTCTGTGATAACATCTGCTTCCAAAATAATTAATCCTCTGTGTACTAGAAACCATGTCAAGGGAGTTTGGTTGTGTTTGTATGGTTGTTTCCTTCTTTGCTTTTCTCTATAAAGACAAAATTATTTGTGAAATAAGAAATTCTTTGAAGGCAGCACTTAGACCTCTCTGATGAATGACCATACATAGAAAGCATTTTGCTGTCTAAGCCCTACCCAAAGCTAAATGTCAGTTAAACCTTTTATTTCCCTAACCTATGAGCCTTTATTTTTATGTTGCATTTTTCTATAAACATTGAATATCCCTAATCTGAACTGGTTGGGATTGACTTAACAAATTTTATCCGATTTTGAAATATTTGCATATAAGTAATGAGGTGTCTAGGGGGTGGGATCCAGGTTTAATTATGAAATTCATTTATTTTTCATATACACCTTATACAAACAGGCTGAAGGGTAATTTGATGCAATACTTTTAGTACACATGTGTTTTGACCATGATCTGTCACATGAGGTCATGTGGAATTTTCTATTTATAGCATAATGTTGATAATCAAAATGTTTCAGCATTTCAGATTTTCAGACTGGAGATATTCAACCTGTATGATTATGATCACTAACTACAGTCAGATTTCCAGAGTGGCCTCAGTGGCATTGGAACTAAAACTTTGCTTTGCTATTGCTTTGTCAGCATTGGGAGTAATTGATATACGATGGGAATTGAATGTTAAAAGGTGATTCAGGCTGTTGTATTTGCTTGTTTTATGACATCAAAATTGGCACAGCATTTCTTAATTTAAATGTATTTAACTTTTGCAGAAGTATTGACTTTTGGTCATTAATAAATTATTTGGGAATGGATTTTCAGTATATGAACATACTTATTTTAAGATATTCATGCTAATAATTCTTAGAATAAGCTAGCTGTGGCGATATGTTCATAGTCCTTGTTCCTTGAGAGGCTGAGGCAGGAGAATCAGTAGAGCTCAGGAGTTAGAGGTCACCATGGAAAACAGGGAAGCCTGATCTCAAAAACAATAATGTGCCATGCGTGGTGACACCTGTAATCCTACAACTTGGGAGGCCGAGGCAGGAGGATTGTGAGTTGGAGGCCAGCTAGACCACATAGTGAGACTCTGTCAAAAAAAATAAAAGAAAAAAAAAGAATAATGATACCTAATGAAATATTTTATGTTTTTACATCATGAGTATTAACCAATAGGACACTTTTGCAATGTCAAATTTTTTATAACAGAAAGAATATATTTTTAATATCCGTTGATTTTAAAATATGGAATTTTTATGAATTCAGAAACATTTAAAAATAGAATTGGCATGTTTGTTAACTCAGATATAGGATTTGTTTAGGAAACTACCATGCTTGGCATTCATTTGGATTTCTGAATATGTTACAATAACTGTCTTTCCCCACAGGTAGCACTATTTACTAAAAGTAAGTGTTTGTTGGGCCAGGGATTTAGCTCAGCGGTTCGGTGGCCTGCCTTGCAAGCGCAAGGACCCAAATTCAATCCCCGGTACCAAAAAAAAAAAAAAAGTGTTTGTTAGAACTTAGTGCTATAATTGGAAAAGAGGAAATAAACATTATTAACTAGTTTAATTAGTTGCTGGCTAGTGAAGTTATCTTTGCATTTGATGTTAGGGAGATGAAGATGAAGAAATTGATGGAGATACCAATAAATACAAGAAAGGACGCAAGAAAGCAGCTTATGCTGGAGGCTTGGTTTTGGACCCCAGAGTTGGTAAGGCTAGCCAGTGTGGTTTGTTTTGCCCCTGGAGTTGAGGAATTTCTTCACATAATTAGGCTTGAGAAAGTAGAAGACCTGAATTGTATCTTGGAGGTCAACAGATACGTCTCATTATGAATTTTTTCTTTTATGCATGTGAAAATCTTGTTTGCCAGTCACCTAGCAGAATAAATGTGAATGCTTTTGCTATGTTCCAGTATAGTTTTATTTATGGACATTGAAATTTAAACTTCATATAATTTTTATGTATTTTTAAATACTGCTTTTTATTTTTTCTAGCCACTTAAAAATAAAAATGTTTATTTTATGAGCAGTAGTGAAACAGCCAGTAGGCTGGATTTGATCTTCACATAGTTTGCCAAGTCTTTGTTGAGTATATATATAGATGATTGTTTGTCCTGTAGTGGGAGCATCTCTGTCTTCCCTTTCTTCTGTTAATGGGGGCTCTGCCTCTGGTAGTTCCAGAAACTACCAAATTGAAATTTAACATGAGAATCCCTTTCCCCTGTTGTCCTTTAATAACAAAGATGTTTTGTGGCACACAGAACTAGAAAGGAATTTTTTTTAAGTTAACCATTTCCAAGTGTACAGTTCAGTAGCACTAGTAATTTTTTTCCCCCAGCTTTAATTGAGTTTATTGGTACATTTTAGGGATACAGTACAGTTGCATTCATTGTTGGGATCTTGTACTTCTACATGACAGGTTTTGGTTCTCATTTTTTCCCCTTGTCCCTGCCCTCCCTTCACCCCCCTCCTCCCCTCCCCATCTACAAATCCTTTATTTCCATCTTTTCATTATCTCACATTTTTTTCTTTTCCCTTATTACCCTTCCCCTACCTATCCCACCTTCCCTACCCCTTTAAGCCCCTTCCTTCCCATTTCACAATGTCAGTAATCTTATTAGGATCTTATGTATTATAGCAGTTTAGTCACACCAGAGAAACTATTCGGTATTTACACATGTGTGATTTATTTCACTTAGGAGTATATCTTCAATATGTATCCATTTTCCTATGAATAAATCTATTTTCTTGTTCTTTATGGCTGAGTAATATTCCATTTTATAGAAAAACCACATCTTCTTTATCCAGTTTCCAACTGATGGGCAAATGGGCTGTTTCCAAGTTTTAACTATTACAAACTGAGTAGCCCTGGTAATTATTTTCATGTGCAGAAATTAATGTGAATTTTAACAACACACTTTGAATAGGAGACTTCATTGACAAAAGCAATTTTATTGGAATGACACAAAGCAGTAAGTAGTACTTTGGTGTTAGATCTGTGCTTGAATGCTGACTCTTATCTTGGGTTGCCTGCTTAACCTGTAAGCCTCAGTTTCCTCTTAGGCAAAACAAATAAGAATGTTATCTACCATTGAGAGATTTAAGGCATAAATGAGATTGTTTGACATATTGTCTGATACAGAGTAAGCTGTCGGTATATTTGCAGTTGTAAATACTGTCAATAGTGGACATTTTTTTTCAGTTTCTTCTCAATGTGAAGATAACACTTCATAAATGTCCTAGAGAAATATAGTAGCTTTCTGTTCATCCTTTGCAAGTTAAAAGGGTGGATCGTTCCACTACTGACATATATATACCTGTTATCTGATTTCTAGCACAGTTGCCAGTATGGGTGCTGGTTAGTATATTCAGAGAGTACAGGTTGCGCGTTATAGTCTTTGATGATATGATTGTAAAGAAATAGGTATAACCATTCACTGGGATTTATTTGGGATAGAGTAGGTGGAAAGGAGTGTTTGCTTGGTGGAGAATTTAAGAACAAATTTTTAAAATGGACATGATGCCTCTCTAAAATAATTGACATGGGATGGCATTTGTCTATAATAATATGTTTTGGGACTTCTAGGTAAAGGACTGACTGTAGCTGGCTCCAAGGATAAACTGAATCTTTTCAGGCCCCTCCTTTTGTGATCTGGGTTTTCACTCTAATCCAAGTCATTTTGTGATATAGTAGTCGACTTGTTATTTGTTTTGTCTGCTTCACAGTGCTGGATAGTATTTAGTTTCTACCATACCTTATATTGGACTTCTGATATGATGTTTTGACAGCGCTTTTCTTTAGACTTTTTGTGATTTCATGTACCTTTTTTATTTCAGGTTTTTATGATAAATTCATTTTGCTCCTGGACTTCAATAGTTTATATCCTTCCATCATTCAGGAGTTCAACATTTGTTTTACAACAGTACAAAGAGTTGTTTCAGAGGCACAGAAAGTTGCAGAGGTTTGTATTCAGCTGGGGACTCTTGAAATCTGTGTTTAAAGTATTGCTTGCTGGTCAATGATGGCATGCGCTTGTAATTCTTGCACTGTGGGATGCTGAAGCAAGAGGATTGCAAGTTTGATCCCAGCCTGGGAAACTTAGTGAATTTAGGAAGACTGTGCTTAAAAAAAACAAAACAAAACAAGAAAAACAAAACAAAACAAAATCAGGCTGGGGATGTAGCTCAGTGTGAAGGCGCTGAATTCAATCCCAGTACTGCAAGCCAACAAATAAAACAAGCAAAACAAAACAAAACAAAAAAACAGCAACAAAAAAGTATTGCTTAAAGCAGGAAGACAACCAAAGTGGTTAGTATTCTAGTTTTTCCCTCTTAAATGCTATATTAATTATGCCCTTTTGTAGTTGTCTAAAAGAAGGGCTGGGCAGAAGAAGACTCAGACTGTTTCTGTGTCTTTTTAAAAAGTGTTATTGAGATAAAGTTCACATACCATTTCAGCCACCTATTTAAAGGGTACAGTAATGGCTTTTAGTGAATTCAGAGAGTTTGCAGTTATCACCACATCCAGCTATGGGGCATTCTCCAAAGAAACCTTTTAGCTATCATCTCCCTCAACCCCTTTATCCCTCCCAGTCCTAGGCAACCACTAATCTTTCCTCCTGTATAGATTTGCATATTATGGGCATTTTGTGTAAGTGGAGTCACAGTCTGGTATATTTTACTTAACATATTGTTTTCAAGGTTCATTTGTATTGTGGCATTTATTAGTTTTTCATTCCTTTGTATTGCTGAATAATATTCCTGTCTATATGTGGGACAGGAATATTATTCGCATTGTGTTTATTCCTCCTTCCTCTCCTTTGCTCCATCCTTCCTTCTATTCCTTCCCTCTTTTCCTCCTCCCCCATCACATCTTTTTCCCTTCCCTGCTGAAGATGTCTAATATGCCCTCTAGGAGCAGTTTTTCAGTTTCAATTCCAGATTCCTGAATGGAGAATTCAATAGGCTCATGTAGGTCAGGAGCATCTCTGGTCCCATCACCCGTAACTACAGGAGTGGTTCACATAATACAGATCAGGCTAGTGAGAGTAAAGGTATTGGGCAGACAACCCCCCAAAATAGTGACTGCCTTCTATTAATGTTTTTAGGGCTCTGTCCTGCTCCTGTTTCAGCACTGTGGTAATTATTATCCAGCCTGCCTCCCCAGCTGCCTCTTACCACTGTTTTGTTTATTTGAGCTTTCTAGTTTGGATTCTGAATATATAATGGAATCATTTCAGAGTAGAAGGACCTTAGAGGTCATCTAACAAATATAAGTAGCGATTTATAGATTCTGCTGTCATTTTCATGTGCAGTACCTCACTTTATCTTCAGAATAGTTACTGTTACATAGGTAGTAGTGGTAGAGCTGGGAGTGGGTTATAAATTTCCTGACTGCAGATCCTTTCAGTTTACTTTGGTCTGACTCCCATGGTTGCTGTAAATAAATTGGAATGTATATCAGTATCCTAGTAGCTTTGTGATTATCATGTGCTATATTGGAAAACAATAGGTCCATATTATTATTGAAAGTGAGTTTATTTGAAGATATTTATCTTTATAAAACCAGATACTTTGTGAAGGCTGGGTTATCAAATAGCACAGACCTGACATACTTTAAGCCGGGAGGCTTATTTTTAAGTTTGAATGTTTGAAAGGGCAAATGTGCCTGGCTTTTCTTTGTAGCCTGTTAATAGAATGGAAGCTTGAGAAAAATGGTCTAATGCTTTTCCTGCTTTTTCTTGTTGTAAATTTTAATATAAGAAGACGGCTGGTTGCTTTCTAAAATGTTGCTGTTCTTTTGCCAATTGCCAAGCAATTTATAAGTAAAAGGTACTACATAAATGCTAAGGAATATATTTTATTAATTTTTAGAAAATGTCATGGGCTATTTAAAATGTGCTTCAAATTTTAATTTGCTGATTTAGTGTTTAGCTTTTTATTTTTCATCTAAAACATTTACAACGATTGTTATGATAGTTTTAAAATTCTGTAGCATTTTGTTTGGTTGTACCAATGATTTAAAATAGTTTAGCAGCTGGTTATTTTTCTTATCCTAGAAGCCTGAGTGATTTTTTAAAAAGCAATTTCCCCAAACATATTGCTCCTCCATCTCGTTGAAGAGAAGATGGTACCATGTGTAAAAGTCAGACCTTTTAAGTAAAATCTATATTAGTGAGTAACTGCAGAGGTGAGAGATAGTAGGATGGACAGGCTGATAGAATTGTGTGGGAAAAAGGGCAGTGGCTTGCAGCCCACTCAGCTTTTTTATATTGCCCGGACATTATCCATCTTTACTCATACAACAAAAGCGCTTAAGACACGGTCATGGAGTTTTGTTCCTACCAAATATTACTTTAAAAATTCATTTTACCTAAGTTTAACTGTCTGAAGTTTCTCTTGTGTGTTTATCAGGATGAAGAACAAGAACAGATCCCTCAGTTGCCAGATCCAAGCTTAGAAATGGGCATTTTGCCCAGAGAGATCCGGAAGCTGGTAGAGAGGAGAAGACAAGTAAAACAGCTAATGAAGCAACAAGATTTAAATCCAGACCTTGTTCTTCAGGTATATCTTTTCACTAAGAGACATCTGAATGACAGTTTTAGCTTTTACAGTGTGATTGTTTAGGAGTGGTATAAATGACACTGGACAAGTGCATGTGCTTATTTTATTTGTGGACAGATAACCATACAAAAGCACTAGAATACCTCAGAATAGAAGTCAATTCTGTCTGCAAAGGCTATATCTAAGCAAGATCTGTCTGAATTCTGGGAGCTTTGAAGTCTGTATTTACTTGCTTCTAGGTTGGGGCATTGTGGATCTGGGAGGGCAAGTTGGCTATTTTAATTAAGAGTTCTTTTTTCCCCTGGAGATATTGAGAGGGTTCTTCTCATTTGTGATGTAAAAAGATACCTAATGTAATGCTTAACCATCTGCAAATATTGTTGTTTGTCTTTTGTCCTTGTGTGGCCTGCAGTATGACATTCGACAGAAGGCTTTGAAGCTCACAGCGAACAGTATGTATGGTTGCCTGGGATTTTCCTACAGCAGATTTTATGCCAAACCACTAGCTGCCTTGGTGACATACAAAGGAAGGGAGGTAAATGGTGTAATAATATTCCTATCTAAATATGAGTATATTTTTATCTATACATGCTATAGTGTGGGAGAGCCAAGTTTGTTACCTAGTTATTCAATTTCAAATATCCCTTTTTGAGAACCACCATGAGAAAAGTAGGCATTTAATGAATTCATTCATCAATCCTGTGTGTGTGTGTGTGTGTGTGTGTGTGTGTATTTATTGAACATCTGGGGCTAGGTTTTGCTTTAGCCACTGGGGATAGATTGTTGGCTGAGACGTACAGGTCCCTGCAGTTACAGGCTTTATATTCTACCTAGAGTGGTAGGGAGTGGGAGACCTGGGCCAGGGGCATAGGTTAGGGAGCAGGTTGTTTGGGGAAAATAGACTGTAAATAAAAAAATATAAAAAATGATGAAGATAGTGTGATAGAAGTAAATATTCTTTAGATAATTAAAACAGGGTGTGGCTTAGAGATTGTTTAGATGGCTAGTTTAGAGAGTGGTCAGTTTAGGCTTCTTTGAGGAGGTGGTGTGAAGAAACTAGTTTTGTTTAACATGGAGTGTGAGAGAAAGGGAGAAATAAGGAGGATATCTAACGGAGCCTTTTACTTAAGATGGAGAAACCTCAGAGAAGGATTAAGAGTTATGTCTTATATGTGTGGCCTTTGAGAGGAGTAATAGATCACCAAGCATGCTAAGTAGGCAGTTGGGTGTATAAGTCCAGAATTCTAGGAACATGTTAGGGCTGAAATTAGGAATTGAGCATTATTGACTTTAGAATTATGTGCCTGGTACCAAATACATTTAAGTTTTAATCACATTATGAACACTGTAAGCTTCACCTGCTTTAGAGTGCATGAGGCTTTTTTTTAAAAGTTACATTAAATGTTAAATTTACTTCATTCCAAAGTTATTTTTTTCTCTCTATCTTCTCTGTCTTAAATTCCTAGCTAGTAGTTAGGAGCAGAATGCTTGCTTCAGGCGTCTGGACTCAAAATACTCTAGGGCAGATTAGCAAACTGGCCTGTGAACCAAATCCATTCTGCTCTCTATTTTTGTAAATAAGGTTTTATTAAAACAAAACCAAGATTATTTTTATATTACCTATGGCTGTTTTTTGTGATAAAAGCAGAGCTGGGTAGTCAAAATAGAGTTTTGCATGGCCTTGAAAGCCTAAAATATTTACTGTTTGGAACTTTCAGGAAAAAAGTTTGCTTATCCCGACTTTAGA